TTAAAAACAGACGTTGGATGACATTACTCTTTTATGTGCCATGGCTTCCCTGCACTTAGAATATACCCCAGAACCTTTACTGTGCCCCTCCCGGCCCTAGGTGTGTCCCTGGCCATAGCTGTGACCGACCCGCCCTGGTCCCTGCCCTCACTGGCCTCCCTTGCTGCTCTCTGTGCCTTGACGTCCGGCCGGCCTCAGCACCTGCACCTGCCTTACCTTGTTTTGTTTTGTTTATAATTTTCAAAACCAACTTACTATAGCAGCATGAAGCCCTCCACACTTAAGGCCTATTACTAGTGTGTTTTCAAATTTTTGTAGTTTTCAAGCGGACCGGCCGTGCCTTCTGCCGGAAGGCTCTGCCCAACCCCCCCCCCCCCCCCCCCCCCCCACCGCCCCCATCGTTGCCTGGTTGGCTCTTGGTGATCGTTCGGCGCTCAGTTCAGCGTGTCCTCCTCAGAGGGTCCCCTCTGCCCAGCAGCTGCTCACTCCCTCGGGCAGTCCTGTTGACTTCACTGTCTGAGATGATCTGTTTATTTGTTTTTTACGTCCATTTCCTGTCCCCTTGCTTCGAGAAAGTTACTTTCATGAGAGCCCATTCTCTTCAATATTTCAATGTTTCTGAACCCTAAAGGTGCCCAGTGAGTATCTGTTTAGTGAATCAAAGGGAGGTACCCTGCCCGCTGGGTTGCCCCGACACCTGCCGCTAAACATCTAGGCGGCTCATGAACAGACCAGTCTGGGGGCTATGAAGAGGTCAGACCCGGAGGGAGGAGGGAGGCTCCCAGGCAGGTCTAATGGCATCTTCAGAACGGCTCAATCCAAGCAGCTTGTCTGGAGCAGGCAAGGCTCACCATGGCTCCCTTCCCCTCTGGGGTTCCACCCTCCAACCCCCCTCAACCCCAACTTACGGGAGTGCCAGAGTTGGGTCCAGCCTGAGCTTTGGACTTGGAACGATCTGAATCTTAGAAGTTCTGTCTCTGCCTCTGTCTGACTGAGGGACCTTGGACGGGTCTCATCATCGGAGTCTCGGTTCCTGTAGTTGAAAAAAATGGAAATAATAACCATAACAATACCTAACTCATAGGACTGTCTTTAGTCAGGGCCTGGCCCACGAAAAATATCAGTAAGTGTTAGCTCCTATTGGCATTGTTCTTGTCATGTTTACTGATCAATTAGCTGTTATTTTTTCGATGCCCCCCCTCCCTTAGCCTCCGGAACCTCCCCTTCCCGTGTGGCACCCCTGCCAGAGTGTGCAGGGGTGTGGCAACGGCATCCTCTGCCCTGCCCTCTTGAGCGTGGGATTTGTAGACCTTCCCCCTATATCCGCCTCTGAACCACACTTGCTCTGGCAGCATCTGTGGTAGGAGATTCTTCCTCATTCAGCCGGGCCGGCGCTCAGGGATGGGAACTCCCCTGCCCCTCTTTCCCGAAGCTCTTCCTCTCCCTCTCGGAGCCTGCCACCCCTCTACTCCAGGTGCACAGTCTTTCCATGTTTTCACTGTCATCAGGAGGGTGCTGGCTCATAAGCGAATTCATACTCTGGAGTTAGTGCTGTCTTGGCTTTTAAAAATCATACCCATAGAGGCCAATTCTTAACCCAAAGGGATCTATCTCACCAATGGTGGGATTTTCAGCACTGTGAGGGAGATACTGGAGGTGATGGGGCTGGTGCCTTCAATGACGTCCGGAAGGTGCTGCCTGCCCTGTGTTTTGACGTCTCCAAAGTTTGCTCCCCCGCCGCCGCCCCTCCCCCATGTCTATCTGAGACTGCACGCTCCTGAGGACAGCCGTCTGTCTGGCTAGTTCCCAACACAGCCGCGGGGGTGGTGTGGCCTCAGGCCCCAAGTTGGGAGGGATAGCCCCAAGCATTGGAGAACATTCAACTTGCCCCACCCCATGTGCGCCCCAGGACTTGCAGCCTCTGTTTCTCTTTCCCACGTGTGGGGAGAGGTGAGTTTCTCCCTGGCCCTGGGACACAGCCCTTCCTGTGAGAGCCCGCCCCACTTCAGCTAAGGTCCTGGGTCCAGCCCTTTCCCACCATGGAGAAAATAGCAAGAAAAACAGATGAGAACTGATACCCTAAGCGGCAGGTCTGCTGGGACCTGGCCCTGGAGGAGCCCCAGGAAAGCTTTAACCCCGGGGCTCCAGACAGTCAGGAAGGGTGAGGGGAGAAGGAGTGTGGGCGCCTCTAGTGAGAAGTTGCGTCCTCCCTCTCTCGCACCTGGGTTACTGTCCGTACCCACCTCCTCTCTCAGTGGGTCATCATTGCCCGGGTGTGGGTCCTGGGTGCCCCCCGCCCCCCCGTCCCCCCAGTCCCCAGGCTAGATGACAACATGAGGTCACCTTGTCCATCCCCGTTTCTCTGGGCAGACCCTCTTTGGACAGGGTCCAGATGTTCCCATTTTAAAGCTCGTAGGAAAGGGGCATTGCCACTCTGCCAGTCAGCCTGTATCTAAGTGACCCGTAGGGAGCCTGGTGCCCCGAAGGAGAACTGGTCTCAGAGTCACGAGACCCTGATAAGTTATCGGCCGTTTCCGGGCCTGGAGTTCCTAATCTGTGAAATGGTAATCCCATTACGTGCTGCATTCCCAGGGTGGTTGTGGGGATCACCTGAGACGTGAATGTACAGGGCTCTGTAAACGATAAGTGGATATAAATTGGATGTGCGATGGGCCGCGATGGTGGGGTCAGAAGCGGGGGTGCCTGGCCCCCAGCCTTCCACAGCCGCAGCCCCATTTGGTCCTGCTGAGGCTCACCCTGGAAACCCGCTTCCCCCAACCTCGCGGCAGCCATGGCAATGTCAGCCTTCTCTCCCGGCAGAACGGTCCGTGCTCCTTTGGTCTTGCTCCCTAGACTCATCTAGAGCTTCTTTCACCATGGGATGTGTGGGGAGCACTTCCAGATCATCAGTAACGAGCCCGGAGCCAGATATCTGCAGAGCGTTAGGCTGTGTTTTGCTGAACGTCTAGAGACACTGGAGGTTTTCCAAGTGGGAGCGTTTCTAGGGGCTTCGAGGGGTAGGAGCTCAGGCACAGGAGCATTGGTGGGGTGTTCACAGACTACTTCCCTTATGTTATTTCGTCTGTCCTTACCCTCTGAAGTGGGGTCCACTGTCTCATTTTACAGAGAAAGGGTTGATCTAGTAGGCTGCAAATTCCAGTCTCTGACTTTCAGTGTGTGCACCAGGCTGGCCATCCTGCTGGCGGTCCAAGAGGTGGGAATGGGCTTCAGTTGCAGCAAGATAGCAAGGATTATGTGTAAGAAAACTTAAGGAGGCACAAGCGAACTGGGTGCCTTCAAGGTGTCTGGGTGCTCCGGGGACACGAGGACCCTATGATCAGAGTAGGGGAGGGGGCACCACACTGAAGGTGTCAGAGTCATCCAGGGTCCCCATTTCTCCCATTGGAACGATAAGGAGATTGGAACTGAGGTTCCCAAAGTCCCTTCTAGTGCTTGCTCTCTAGATGGGGTGAGGGGATCTGGTTTCTCCCTCCCCCCCAATCGTTCCCCTTCCCATCCCTATAAACCTTCACAGAGCAGGGGGCTTTGGTGCTTGGAGAGGTGTCCAGGGTGAGAGGGACCTTAAGTATCATCGCCGTGAAGAAGAAAGCCACGGATTCTGCAGGCACAGGACAGAAGCAAATGGAGTCCTAGGGAGGCCTCCTGTTCCACCCCTGTGGGTCTCAGGAGCTGTTTAGATGCTCAGGAGGGCACTCCATCCATCTCAGAGGCTGCATTGGAAAATAACAACAGGGCAAGTTGCTGCGCTGAGCCAGCTTCTCGGCACAGAGCCGGGCAGGCCCCAGCCCCTGGCACTCACTCCAGGGCGGTGTGTGGGCAGAAGACATGCTGGTTACTGGCTGGATTGGTTTAAAGGGAAGAGGGGAGCTCCCAGGATGCTGAAACTCTCTGCCCTCGGTGGGGGGCGCCGTCACCGCCCATGGGCAGCCTCGTCCGTTTTCCGTGTCATCCAGATGTTCTCATTTTCTCTGTGTGTCATGACACAGAAAAGGCTGGAAAGCTCTATCCCCTGACATAATCTGTTCATTTCCTTCAAAGGACATACGGCAACCTGTAATTGTCTTGTGTATTTATTTCCATGTTGGCTGTCTCTTTGCCCAAAATGTGAGCTGTGGAGAGGCCAGGGTCCTTTACCTAATACCAAGCACAGAGACCGGCGCTTGGCACAGAAAGCACCCCATCTGTGGAGCAAGTGCACCCATGCATGCATGCATTCATGTGCCTTGTTTGCAGCGAATGCTCAATGACCATCAGTTATCTTTCCCGAGAATAATTCTCCATTAGCTTGGGGGACAGAGATGGTGCTTGAGCTCAAGCCCTCAGGAGATACGCATGGACAGTGATTGGAAGGGGAAAGGGGAGGTAAGCATGGAAGGGGAGATGGGGGCACCGGTAGGGAGGTAAGGGGCAGGGCCAACAGGAGGGAGGTGTGGAAGGCTTTTTTCGACAGTTGAGTCAGCTGGCCCAAGGGGAAGAGTGATTCTTCAACCCTCTGGCTGTTTTTGGTCAGTGTAGACGTGTGTGAGGAAGCACAGGAAAGTGCCACCACCTTCCATGTGGACTTGGGCGGATCACGTGATTGCTTGGAACCTCAGTTTCCTCGTCTGTCAGATGGGCACTCATTCGTCCGGTGCTTTCCTACCCCGCGAGGGCTGTCGTGAAACAGTGACGAGAGGTGACCAACGGGGACGTGCCGAGCACACGTGATTGATTTTGACTTTGGTGATTTTATTAAAACTCTTCCGGGAGGTCCTTTGTTGTTTTCTGTCCTGATTTTTAATCTTGGTTTTTTAGTTTGTTATGATTTTTCTGCTAACCAGGCTTCTCACCCTCTGCAGGTGAGATGCACCAGTGCATTGTAAGCTCTGGCCCAAATCTTGGATCCTGGAGACTCGGACCTCTAGCCAAAGACCGGCACCTCCCCACTCACTGGGTCCTGGCTGGGGCGGGAGCCTCCTTTTGGGGCCCCGTAGGGGCTGATGGAGCCTGGTGAGAGTGGGGGGGACTCACACTCTGCCCTCCCCTTCCCCAGGTACAAGACGGTGGTGACTCCCCGGAGGGCGGCGGTGGCCATCGCCGGCTGCTGGATCCTCTCCTTCGTGGTGGGCCTGACACCCCTGTTCGGCTGGAACAAGCTGGGGGAGGTGGAGCGGGCCTGGGCGGCCAACGGCAGCGAGGGTGAGCCCGTGATTGAGTGCGAGTTTGAGAGGGTCATCAGCATGGAGTACATGGTCTACTTCAACTTCTTCGTCTGGGTGCTGCCCCCACTGCTGCTCATGGTCCTTATCTACCTGGAGGTCTTCTACCTGATCCGCAAACAGCTCAACAAGAAGGTGTCGGCCTCCTCTGGCGACCCACAGAAGTACTATGGGAAGGAGCTGAAGATCGCCAAGTCGCTGGCCCTCATCCTCTTCCTCTTCGCCCTCAGCTGGCTGCCCCTGCACATCCTTAATTGCATCACCCTCTTCTGCCCTTCCTGCCGGAAGCCCAGCATCCTCATCTACGTCGCCATCTTCCTCACACATGGCAACTCAGCCATGAACCCCATCGTCTATGCCTTCCGCATCCAGAAGTTCCGGGTCACCTTCCTTAAGATTTGGAATGACCATTTCCGCTGTCGGCCCGCACCCCCTGTTGATGAGGACCCCCCGGAAGAAGGGCCCCAAGACTAGACTCCACCTACTGCGTCTGCCTGCCCCCATCAGGGGCATCTCAGCCCAGTCCCACCTCCCCACCGGTCCCACTCCCTGAGCCTTTCTGGCGGGGCTGTGGGGTGTGGGTGCCCTGCACCTTGGGTTCTGGAGGAGGTTTGGC